CACATTGAGTGGTTATTGGCAATTGCCGCTGAGCCCGGATTCAAAGGAGAAAACTGGGTTCAGTACTCCATCGGGGCATTATGAATTCAATCGTCTCGCTATGGGTCTTTGTAATGCCAGTGCCACATTCCAACGTTGCGCAGATTTAATATTAAGTGGATTAAAAAACAAAATATGCTTAGTATACATGGATGACATCCTTGTGTTTAGTCCCGACTTTGCCTCCCACCTAGAGAGGTTAGAACTAGTTTTCCAGAGGTTAGCAGCAGCGGGCCTAAAACTTAAACCCAGGAAATGTCACTTTTTAAAGAGACAGATAAAATTTTTGGGACACGAGGTCTCGGAGGAGGGAATCCGACCGGATTCTGGAAAAATAGAGTCTGTTCGAGACTTCCCACGTCCGAAGAATGAACGGGATGTACGAGCATTTTTGGGATTAACGGGTTACTACCGAAGACATATAGCCCAATATGCAAAAATTTCTAGACCTCTAACAGATCTTTTAAAGAAAGACTCGAAGTTTCAATGGAAAGAGGAACAGGAGTCTGCTTTTGAGATTTTGAAAAAGGCATTGACCTCTGCTCCTCTGTTAAGATCGCCAGACTTTAGTCGACCCTTTGTTCTTGCAACAGATGCATCCAACGTAGCAGTTGGTGCCGTGCTGTCTCAGGAGGATGAAAGCGGTGAACTCCCGGTAGCTTACGCAAGCCGTTTGCTCAAGAAAGCAGAGCGAAATTACAGCACGACAGAGAAAGAATGCCTAGCAGTCATCTGGGCAATAAAATATTTTAGGCCGTACTTGTATGGTCGGAAATTTAAGATCATAACCGATCACCGACCTCTAAAATGGCTCATAAATGTGAAGGATGAGAGCTCGCGATTGAGCAGGTGGAACTTGGCTTTACAAGAATATCAGTTTGAGATAGTTCATCGTCCAGGAAAGGCCCATACCAATGCAGATGCATTGAGTAGAATGCCAATAGCATCCATTGACGAGTTACAACCTATATACAGCAAAGCTCAGATCCGAGAACAGCAACAAAAAGATTCATTTTGCATAGAAATTAGTCGGCGTTTGACAGGCGCTTCGACATCACAAGAACAAAGTCAGAGTCACGAGAGTAGAGAATTTTATTTAGATGCAGAGCAGACGTTATACCATAGAAAGTCAAACCCTGACAGAAATGAAATCTGGGACAGATTAGTAGTGCCCAAAAATATGGTCGAATATGTCTTGAAGATGTTTCACGACATCCCTAGTTCAGGACACGTGGGAGCAAAAAAATTAAAGAAAAAGTTGCAGACGCAATTCTATTGGCCAGACATGAACAAAGACATAGCTCACTACTGTCAGTCATGTCAGGAGTGTAGTATGCGAAGGCGACCTTTGCAAGGACATCAGGCACCCTTACAGATTTTTCCCAGAATTACCAAGGTATTCGAGAGAACTGCCCTTGATATTCAAGGCCCCTTTCCAACTACCCATAATGGCAATAAATATTTATTGGTCTTCGTGGATCACTTTTCGCGTTGGGCCGAGGCAGTGCCGTTGCCCGACGTAACCGCAAAAACGGTCGCTAGAGCATTTGTCACGCAAGTCATCTTGAGACACTCAGTGCCAAAACAGCTATTAACCGATCGAGGCGCAAATTTCACATCCAAGATGATGCGGGAGGTTTGCGAACTTTTGCAGATAGAGAGACTGCTCACCACCGCTTACCATCCACAATGCAATGGGATGGTGGAGCGATTAAATAAAACTTTGGTAGATATTTTGACGCATTACACAAATGTAGACCAACGCAATTGGGATGAGATGGTCCCTTTTGCACTTTTCGCATATAACACTACTGTGCATTCTAGCACCAATGAGACACCTTACTATTTAGTGTATGGGAGAGATCCCGTGTTTCCATTCGATGTGGTCACCGAACCTAGTCGACCTAGCTATGATATTAGCGAGAACTATGCGAGTGAACTGAGGACGAGGTTGGCTTTAGCGCATAGATTAGCGCAGGAACATGCGGAGAAAGCAGCGCAGGACAGAAAGGTGTACCATGATCGCAAAAATAAACCCCATAAGTTTTTACTAGGCGACCGAGTATTTGTGACGGAAGTAGTAGTCCCTACAGGGTTAAAAAGGAAGTTAGCACCTAGATGGCAGGGACCGTATAGGATAATAGCGGAGACCAGTCCAGTCGACTTTGTCGTCCAACATATCCTTACGGGAAAGAAGTTACACACACATGCAAATAGAATGAAACCTGCTGTCGCGCGAATGGAGTTTAAATCCTTCGCCGCCGACGAGATTAGTCGGGAGACAGAGAAATCCGAAAACTCAGTCCCAGCACCACAAACACCCGAAATAATAGACCCCTGGGATGAATTCATCCTAAATTCGATACAACCCGATCAGGCAGAGTCAGCGGAAACGGTAGAAATTAGTCAGCACGCGACCGCGACACAACCGTCGCACAGATACGCTTTGAGGAGTCAGGGACCCGCAGACGAATATCCTTGGGTACTACCCAAAACGCATAGACACGGGCAAACGGTGGAACCTCTTCACCGAAACACGGAAGAGGGAGGCGCGTCAACGTCCCATAATCATGTTCAGGAGCGCTTGCCGCCGCCTACACCCGTCGGGCTATTTACTCAATGTAAATGGTGAGCTCTTCTGAGGGGAGAGGTCACCATACAAAAAAAAGGATGTATTTTTGTAAACAGAATTGTCGCAAGACGAATTCATATTTGTAAATATTCTTCTTGTGGATCCTGAAACTATATTTAGTGTTGGTCGGAAGATAACATTGTCGGGAACCGGGACTAATGTCTGTGTATACTTTTCATTTTAGATTATGAATGAGAACCGGATGATGATTCTAGTCATTGTGGTCACTTTGACCATCACGCCAGAAGTCGCAATGTTGGTGCCACCGTTGACTAAAGGGATAATATTCCTACCGCAAGGAAATTTTTTGATGACTACTAGCCAATGGACGATCGCAATAGAAATTTCATTCGAGGAGTACGATAAACATATCAACGATTTACGATATCAGCTAAATGCCCTTTCGCCTATTATTAGAAAGGCTATTAGGACCCTCTAAGGCCTTTAGGAGGACCCTCTAAGGCCTTTAGGGACTTTGGCCGAGGTAGAAATGGACAATATAAATCGGGAAATGTCGGAGTACGAGAGGGAGTATATTGATTTGAAGGCTATGGTCACTACAACCGATTTTCCTCGCTCGAAACGAGGGTTGATAAATGTAGGGGGGAAAATATTAAAGTTTTTGTTCGGAACCGCCATCTCGGAGGAAATTGAGGATGCGAATAAGAAGATCGACAATCTGGTAACTAACCAGAAAAAGATAGTTCACATTTTGGAGGCCCAAACCACGGTGTTGAATCAGACGTTGCGAGCCGTGAAGGACAACAGGAAATACATAGATATGATGATCCGACGGCAAAACTATTTAGACACAACCCTCCAGGCCTTTAGTTATACGTTCTTTGTAGGTACGGCGCTCCGGTGTGTGGAAGGCGCTTTGGCCGAATTCAGGTCTAGCGTCACCAATTTGAGACAGGCCATAGAAATGCTGGAACAGGACAGGCTCAGTTCCTACTTCCTGTCCAAACCACAATTATTACAGATACTAGGGGAAGTCAATAAACAACTACCTAGCGGGATATCCTTAGTTGAACCGATAACGGAGGACAATGTTTTTAAGTATTATCAGTGGATGACGACCACAGCAGTGGCACTTCCCGGTAAGCTTCGAATTTTCGCTAGGTTCCCCCTAATGACTCCTGAAGGGTATTTTGACCTATACGAGGTTGTGAAGTTTCCAGCATATTTCCCGTCAGTCCAGGCCTTTGCTTATTATCAAGTGGAGTACCAGTACCTCGCTTTGTCTAGAGATCGCCAGTTGTACATGTTGTTGGACTCTCACGACCTTAGGAAATGTAGAGGAGGATTGATGACCATTTGTTCCCCGGAAGTAGCGGTGTGGCGACTCCCCTACCATTCGTGTGAGTACGCTCTGTTTATGGCGACGAACCAAACATCAATCGATTGTGCAGGAGGAAAGTATTGAGTTTCCCGAAACCTATGTTTCGGCGGATAGACGAGAGAGGCACCTGGATATATTCAACGCCAGCCCCTTTGAATTTGGTGGTGGAGTGTGGTAAATGGACCTCGTCTTCCACCTCTCCAATTCAAATGATAAAGTTAAATAACACTGGCATATTTAGGTTGCCAATGACATGCACGGGCCATGTACCAGGAGTCAAATTGACCTCTCACTTTCAATCAAGGCTGACCTTCAAGGTTGCTATCCGAAATCCGTATGTTATCCCTGCCATACAAAATATTTTAAATGACACCGAAACCCGTATAATTCAACAATATATAACTGCAAACATGACAGGAAATTTTCCACACAACAAGGACAGCGATTGGTCATTGGAGTTGGTCGGTAGGGAGTTACGGGATATATCGAAGGATCTCGAAACCGTCCAAACCGACGTTTATCGAGACAACCTTTCTTTGTACGAACCTAATAGACCTGTGCTATATACAGCGTTAGTCGCTACCGGTTTGTTAATCACTACCCTAGGAGTGTTGGTGTGGAGGTGTCAAAGACGAAGAGGTAGGCGAGGGGGTTTCCTACGGAGGAGGCCGGTAAACACCCCCAGACAGTCTCGAAATGAGGAAGTTGTGCCCGTGGAGGTCATAGAACTTATGCCAGTAAAATCAGAACTTGAGAAGGAATTTCGAGGAGAACTCGCAGGAAATACCATCGCGGCTTCCCCTAAGACGTATCCGGAGCAAAACACAGCTAGGGGAATAGAAACATTACCATTACAACTACGACGTTTATAAAACCTGCGAAAGAAACGAACTTCGGAGAATAGAGGTGAACGGCTCAACTTGCTCTCTACTATATATTTTGTTTTTCTTTTTTTGTAGAAACCTTCCAAAGTCAGAAAAAAAAGAGATGGAAGAGAGTTCTAATGAAGGGAACGCCCGTGAGGAAGAAAAGGCGCCCGTCTCTCCGATGCCGGTAAACGAGGATCCAACTGTTATCTCCTTGTTAGAGTGTCCGGTGTGTTACGAGAACTTGGCAACCCCCATTTTCCAATGCGTAGCCGGACATCTCCTGTGTGGCAGTTGCAGGGGACGAGTACACCAGTGCCCCACTTGTCGAGGATATCTCGGAGAATTAAGAAACATCGCGATGGAGAAGATGGCGGAGGCGATAGCTCTTCCCTGCAGGTTCAAGGATAATGGCTGCCAAGTGGTACAGAAACTGCAAAAGAGGAGAATTCATGAACAACATTGTCTGTACCGGACATGTGAGTGCCCGACTTTGGATCCGACGTGCTCATGGGAAGGGGCTTTCCAGACCTTAGTAGAGCATCTACGTGACCGTCATCGTTCGATGGTCTCGGTGAAATCAGGGTCCATAAAATTATCGCTCGTGGGTCTGGAGTCGACTCATCCCTTGTCGTGGGCTATTAGAATGAATTGTCACGGACACGAATTTATTATTCAAGCAAAGAAAAGTGAGACAGGGATTGACCGTGGCCGTATAAGTCTACTCATTCGCTTTGTAGGCAGCAAAAAGGGTGCGAGCCGGTTTCGGAGCTTCCTCTTGGTAGGAGGAAAAGGAAAGGCTCTTGCTTGGAATTCGCCTCCTAAAAGTGTTATGGAAGAGACGAGAAAGATTATTGAGGAGGAAGAATGTCTGACGGTGTCTTCCAAATTCATAAGCCACCTTCTCATCAATCAAACTCTCAGTGTAATAGTTTCCGTGGAACCTATGGGTTCCTAAGACATCCAACGTACCTTCTTTAGAGAGACACGAAGGGACGATTACTTCAACGAAAAAAAAAAAAAGCACCCCCAGGAAAACATCTCTCCCCGTCCATGAGCAAACTTTTTCTGTAAAATAACTCCCCAAAGGGAGACAGCGACCCAATTGGCGGGAAAAGAGAGAAAAATATAATACTTTTTTTTTGGCTTTCATATAGAATGGCAGAGAGAACTCTACGTGGACAATCCAGAGGGAGAGTGCCGCGGATGGTCTCCACGGAATCCGCGTGGGACGACGATTGGGAGATACCCCATACCGTTCTTGCTGGACCTGACGAATGGGAAGAGCCCCTCCAAATACCCGTTAAAGTGGAAGTGATAAAACAAGTCCTCCAAAAGACCCGACAGGTGAATGATGAACCGGACCAAGTACCTGAATTTATTGTATTACCCTGGCAAATGGACGTCCCGGATACATTGAAGGAAGAAATTCTACAACTTAACCGAGAAACCGCTCGCCGATTAGAAGAAGAGGAGGGAGAGAGCGGTAAAACAGACCTCGCCCTTAGAGAACAAACAAATCAGGAAGAGAATCCTTTAGACCAAACCGCCACTAATACCACAGCCGCACCTGGCGCGATGTCGCTTCGGCAAGGGGCTGTGGAGGGGTCCCACACTTCCCGTCCTGAGAGTGGAGGACGTAGGAGACATAATGGATTCAGAAACTGGGCGGAAATGTCTTCGGAAGAACGGGGGTGGGCACGAGGAAGGGCCAGGTCCTTCCCTCCGCGACCTCCTAACTCCCGAAGATAAATGCAGCAGAGAAGTTGATGAATTTAATCATATTATCATGTGCTAATGTCTTTATGTAGTAGCAAAATATAATCGAAAAGAATCGGGTTCTCCATAGTTTTATGGGGACGTTTAGTACACTCCCGTGGGTGTGAATTGGTATGAAAAAAAAAAATACACCCAAGCTAGTGAAATATCCTATTTGTTCTTTGTATACTTGTTTGAAACTCTGTAGTCGCGGATAATAGTAAATAGAAGCTGTGCGAGTTGAGTGAAAAGAATAGATGAATAAGTAAATAAATGTATTTCTTATGTTACAAAACTGTTGCTTTTGTTCAAAGTTGCGCGACACCTATTCCAATTCGATATCTTCGCGAGCGCGAGCTATCAGTTCATCGACCTAGCTCGAATGGATCGCGCTGGGCTGGTAGACGTTCGCGGGACCTAGGGCCCATTGTTAAAATGTCGCATCTGGTGGCGACATTTTAAAAGAAAGGGGGGTGCCCTGTGAGGACCCGAACAGGGGTCGATTGAGAGGTCCGAATTATGGGTTCGATCGAAAATTAAGAGCTCCTTTTCAGTCGATAAGGAAACGGATTAGGTGTCTCGATTGAACAATGCAATTGTTTTTTTTTCGCGAATCTTTTAAACAATGGAAACGGTTAAATTCGAAGAAAACGCGACGAGAGAGAGGAATCATATTCAGTCGCACGGTGACCTCTCCCGCGCCCTTCATTAGGTTTCGAATTGTCACCAGGTGACTATGAGAGACCAATGGAGAGGCGACGACGGTTAAGAAATCTATAAAACCGTGCGACTCGAGGAAAAAAGGTTCCTGGTTCATAGCGCTCCTCTCCTGGAATTTTGTG